ATGAGCGAAGCGATCCGCCGCCTCACCAGGTAAGGCGTGTGGAATCCCCGCCGCATGGTCTACGAAAACTCTTCCCCCTTAGTCCCCCTACCCACGCACGCCTCGTACCAACTCCTTTCCTCAAAGCCCTGACAACTCCTCCTAAGATCCTCCCCGGGCCTGTTCATTCCGCCGGTCCGGGGGTCCAGGCTGCGCACTAAGCGCTGGAGTTGGAGGCCTGGAAATCGGCACCAACACCAGCACAGGGGGTTGCTTCCACATGGGGAAGATGATCTTTCGGTCACCCTGGAAGCCAGAATATGACCACCACCACCGAGATCGAGATCGCCTTCCCTCGGTGAAGGCCCACCGCCGATCTTGGTGTTGGCGTCAACCTCTAGGCCTGCGCTGGAGGACATCTTGCCCTCAGCTCGAACAGGCCTTCGCACGAGAGAGACTTCCGAACGCCTCCGGGCGCCATCTGGGACTTCCCCGGAGGCCCTCCGCGGCAGTCCTCGGGGCCTCTCGGAGCCCTCTTGGGCTCCTCCGGCCCCTCTTGCGGGCCCTCCGAGGCCGTCTCGGATCCCTCCGAAGCCCTCTTCGAGACATACTCAGGCGAAAAATTGAGAAGCCAAAAACCTGCAAAACCCTAAGGAATTGATGAGTTTCGCCGTTTCGGCCTCCTCGTTGCGCCTCTTGGAGCTCTCTTGCAGCATCTTGCACCACTCTTGGGGCCTCTCCGGTCACCCTGGACTCTCTACAAGGCCTCCCGGGCCGTCCTGAGGGTCTCCTGGACCTATCTGCGGCCGTCTGGCCGCCCTTTTGGAGCCTTCTCAGGCCGTCTTCGCCGCGCCCAGAGGGGCCCCTGGAGAGCCTTCTGAGGCCCCAAAAACTCGTGGGAGTGCTCGTTTCTGCCTCTCCGTATCCCTCTTCGGTTCGCTCCGCCGTCTTCGACACCTTCGGGTGCCCTTTGGGGCCGTCTTCCGAGCCTGCTCGGGCCCTTTGGTGGCCTTCTCGGACCCTTCTCGGCGTCTTTTGCGGCCCTCCGGGGCCGTGTTCGCCCCCCACACCCAGACTCCGCGCCAGGTTGGAGCAGGGGCCGTCTCGGGCCCCCCTCCCGGCTCCTGGCACGCAAGCTCGGTGGGGGTTTCCAGAGCCTCTGGGGCCGTCTTCGTTCCCCGCCCCTCCCACACTCGAGTATCTTTTCCACTCCCCTCCTTCTCCTCCAACACGCCTCCCAAACTTGGAGGCTTGGAAATTGACACCCACACCAACACAGGGCGTTGCCTCCACCAGGGGAAGATGCTCCTAGATTTCGGTGTTGGTGATAATCTTTCGGCCGTCTAGGAAGCCAGAATATTACCACCATCACCGAGATCGGGATCGCCTTCCCTCGGTGCAGGAACACCGCCGATCTTGGCGTTGGTGTCAACCTCTAGGCCTGCGACAAACTCCACACGTTCCCCAAAAGCGACGGCCGCCGGTCTGTGGCAGCAGCACCACTACCACCACCACCACCACCCGCGCCTTCTGAGCCTTTCTGGGCCCTCAGGGGTCGCCATGAGCCCCGCCTGGAAAGAAACTCCGGAACACAGCGGAACGGCGGCGTCTGCCCCCTCAGGAGCGTTCAATCAGATATACACCCTGCGAGATGCTGAAGAAATCATGGGTTAAGAAATGCATAGTCTCAGAATTTGAATAAAAAACCCGGATTTCCATTGAAACCTTAGCATTTACATTGAAACATTAAGAATAATCGAGACTCTGGCCGAAAAAAACAGCTTTCTTAAGCATCGCCTAGGGTGTATAAATCGGAGGTGAGGGGTGAGATCGCAGCGAAACGCAGAGCCCCCCACCGGGAAATCGGTTTCGGTTTCGTGCTCGGGTCGTGCGGTGCGGGCGGGGCGAAGCTGCGTGGGCGGGCGAGAGGAGCGAGCCCTCCGCTGGCCAGGGCGCGGCGAGGACGGACGCCCGCCCCACGCTGGCCGCGCGGCGGGCGGTGGCCGTGGGGCGTCCCGCCGTGGTGTCCCGCGGTGGCCCGTGGTGTCCCGTGGCGCGGTGTCCCGTGGTGTCCCGTGGTGGTGTCCCGTGGGGTCGATAGTGAGGTCGATAGTGGGATCGATAGTGACATCGATAGTGGGGTTGATAGTGAGGTCGATAGTGGGATCGACTGGGAGATCGATAGTGGCATCGATAGTGAGGTCGATGTTGGGGTCGGTGTTGAGATCAAGAGTGGCATCGATGGCTGCATCGATGGTGAGATCGGTAGTGAGATCGATAGTAAGATCAATAGTGAGATCGATCGCGAGATCGACTGTGAGACAGAAAGTGAGATCGATAATGCGATCGATAGTTGGATCGAAAGTGAGATCGATAGTTAGATCAATAGTGACGCGGATTGCAAGATCGATAGTGTGACAAATAGTGAGATCGATAGTGGGATCGATAGTGTGATCGATTGTGAGATCGATAGTG